ATCTCCAGACAAAAAAAAGGTCACTCACGCACTAAAATATCGCAACGAAACCCAAAAAACTGCAATAATATTCGCATTTTTGTCAAAACGCTCCAAACTATCGATCGATTTGCAAAGTGACAAAAACGACAAAGATGACAGGATTATACATAAAAATACTGCCGAAACTTGGACGTTATAATATTATATTATTTTATATAAAGAAAAGTTACTTTGTCAGGATTAACACTTTTATTCAAACACCACTTAAACCTATTAACAATTTAAGAAACAATATTCTTAACCAAAACAACGTATAAACACACCGACAGCGGGATTATTACTGATAAATAGATACATACATGTTTTGAATCATTCGCATCGGTTGCGTAATGCCTAACATTTTTTGTTTTTTAAATGTATTTATTGAACCCAAAAAAAACAAACGGTTATAACAGGTGAACATAAATATTAAATAAGGCTTTTGTGTTTAACGAAATAATATAATAATATATATATATATATACAGGGTGTCCGGGAAAAGAGGGTCCATCCGTTAACCATATATTCCTTGAGTTAAAACAATAAGACTTTCATAATACCATTTTTCAATTTAGAGCTTCATGTTCGATATACAGGGCGACAAAGTTTGAAATTTAAAACTGATTTTTTTTAATAATTCGAGTAATTAATAAGATATTAAGTTTAAATTCGGTACACTACTTCAACATAAATAGTTACATTTTTTGAGAGCAACAAAACAAAAAAAATTGTCAAATAATCAAAATAGGGGGGTCCAGTACTCACTGACTCCCCCTATTTTTTAGTACGTGTGTCAATGAATTTTAAACGGTATTTTTTCAGGTAATCATTTATTGTTGAAAATTTTTTGTCTCTTATAAAATTTTGATAAAATGATTTGTTTTAGAGATAATTTGTAAAGTATGGGTCAATCCATATCAAATTTTTGAAATTTATTTATTTATTTTTGAAAAAATTTAGGTCATGTGATATATCATAAAAAAGGTCTCTAATAGGCCTTTAAATTAAGCCATCACTCACCTTTCTACTTTTAATAGTTTACGAGATATCGCTATTTTTGTAAGTACTTGCAAGACCCAAATTTATCGGAATTTTTTGAACCACCTATTGAAAAAAATTCATATATGGGATTTTTGAGTTTTTTAGTGAGGTAAACAAATTTACCAAAAATTATCAAAATTGGAGATGGTGGGGGAAGAACCTTTGGTTGATTTGATATGGACTGACCCATACTATACAAATTATCTCTAAAACAAATCATTTTATTAAAATTTTATAAGAGATAAAAAAATTTCAACAATAAATGATTACCTGAAAAAAACCGTTTGAAAGTCATTGGCGCACGTACTAAAAAATAGGGGGAGTCAGTGAGTACTGGACCCCCCTATTTTGATTATTTGACAATTGTTTTTTGTTTTGTTGCTCTCAAAAAATGTAACTATTTATGTTGAAGTAGTGTACCAAATTTAAACTTAATATCTTATCAATTACTCGAATTATTAAAAAAAATCAGTTTTAAATTTCAAACTTTGTCGACCTGTATATCGAACATGAAGCTCTTAATTGAAAAATGGTATTATGAAAGTCTTATTGTTTTAACTCAAGGAATATATGGTTAACGGATTGACCCCCTTTTCCCGGACACCCTGTATATATATAGGGTGTCCCATAATTAGCGTGCAGATTCTACGTACAAAAATAAGAAAAAAGTTCCTATAAACATAGGTCGAGAAATGCTTTTCAAGGGAGCTACAGCCCCCGAAAGAGGAGCCCCTGAAGATGGTTTTTATTTAATATATCCAAAACCGTTCAAGATAGAAAAGTAAAATTTTGGGAATTAATCAAACTTTTTATGGCCAATAATGAATATGAATAATAACAATTCAAAATTTCCATGAGGGGTGGGTCAGAAAGATTAAAGTTGGGGTTAAAACCACCCTAACTTTCTTGTCAGTGTCTCGTGCTAGGATTTGATGACAGATTATAAAATTTCGGAGTTTTACTTACAAAAAAGGTCCTCTTGTTAAACTTTGATATTATCCGCTGTTTTCGCTTAAAATCAATTTAAAAATTACCTTACATAGCATAAAAGATCATAATGAATTCACAAGAGAAAAATTCAATGTAGGCCATGGAACACAGCTGCCACCTTTAGGAAAAATTATTTAAGACAGGTAATACACAGTAAAAAAAGATTTTAGTGTTCTCCCAGGTGAAAGTTGTAGAGTGAAAAAGTTAGTGTAGAACATCACACTATTTTCAATGAATGATAATAGTGTTCCACATCACTCTAACTTCATACTTAAATATACATTTAACACTAGCGAAGCTCTGGCAGTGCACATTAGTGTAAATATGCAATCAGGGGGCGTTCAGTTGACAAAAACGCAAACTTGTTTCGTTCATTGTTCTCTCCGAATTTGTGTTGGAAGAATGCACCAAGCTGTTTAGTTGTGGTTTATAATTATTTACTAAAGGTAAGTCAATTTTAAAGGATTATTATTATCCATCTTAGTTTATAATGTAAAAAATTGCATTTTGTGTTAGTTCATAAGGTCTAAAATCGCGTGAAAATCGCGTTTTGTTTATTGTATAGACAAATTTCAAGTACAGTTCTTACAATAGCTCAGTTTAATGTATATAATAAGTAAATCGTTTTTTTTGTAATTTTTAGATGTTTTTCCTGAGAGTAACTTTAAAAATTTTGCTAAAAGCAGTGCGATACCAGCAGATGGCATTTTATGATGACAACTTTAGAACTGAATTGCAAAGTGGATCTTCACTTAAAGTTTTATTTTGCAAAAATTTTGTATATAATAATTTGGTATATAATTATTATATTGAAGAATTCAATACAAAATGGGTAAGAATTGGTTACCTGTATAAAACTACGAGATTTTAAGCTTAACAAACCTCAGCAGTGCGATACCAGCAGATGGAATTTTATGATGACAACTTTAGCACTAAATTGCAAAGTGGATCTTCAGTTAAAGTTTTATTTTGAGATTATCAATGCAAAAATTTGGTATATAATTATTATATAGAAGAATTTCCCGATTCGATAGAAATTTTAGTCACAAAATGGGTAAGAATCCCGAAGGGGCTGTATAATTTCTTTACTCAGATCAAAATCCATCACTTAACGTTTTCTTCAGCTGTCCAAAGTACAATACGTATAAATATATTGTTAAACCTATGGTACAACATTTATTTATTTTATTTAAATGACATACATTAATTTAGACTTTTTTAAGATACTTTTTAAACATTTAAATCTGAAATTTATTTGATATTTAAACTTAACAATTTAGTGTTGCTAAATTTGCGAAATTTAAATTTTATGATATTTTGGTTTTACCCCCATGCAGTTCTCTAAATAGGTATGTGGTTTTCCCTTAGACCATACTTTTTCTATGCCTTAAATCGGTTTCATACAGTTGCAAAATGCGAAAAATGTTTTTATTGGTCCATTTGATTTGGAGGGAAAAGCGTTTCGACATAATATTATCCTACGAATTTGCAAGATTAGAAATCCAGGGGGCGAGAATCTTGAGATTGATCCAATATTTTACGAAATCGCACTGATTTAGCGTGCACGATGATGAGCAAATTATTGCAATTGCTTATGGACCATTCCACGCGTAACGGATACGGATACTTTGTAATAGTCCCGTCCGTTACGCTTTAAATTATTAATTTTTAAGGAATTAAACAGTCACGATACCTAATTTTGCCAAATAAAAACCTTGTTAAACAGCTTTTGTTTAGAACTATTTATACAAATTTGATATTGGTAATATAATAGAACAATATTATTTTGTAAATAAAAACACGGCAACTGTCCTATCCGTTAAGCGTGGAATGGTCCTTATTATACCCAAGCTATTTATGTTTATTTCGTTTGCATCGTAGTGTTTGTTTTGTTTAGTTTTATTCGATAAATAGTTTAAATGATATTATAATTGCTTTAAAAATTTCAATTCGATATATTTTGCCGTTCTCCATCGACCGTGATACACCCTGTATATTATAGTCGTTCCATATGAAATCATCTAATGTGTAAAGCCAGCTCATTTTGTATTTTGCTCAAACTTTTTTCAAATCTTTTTGAGGGTACTGAAACAGAAAATCCAATAAAAACATTTTTCGCATTTCGCAACTGTACACATAAAAAAATCTAACATAGTACCAAGAACAGCGCTGTCATTGAATGCATTAAAATTGAAGCAATCTAAATTGTTATTTGCTAAATTAATTACTATTAAACCAAAATAAGGAAACATTTTGCCTAAACGTCAAAGAATTTATTGCGTTAAATTTATACATAGTATACATACCATAGTAAGTTACTATTAGTAACGGTATTAAATAAATCAAATTAGTATTTAATGCAATAACATTTTAACATAAAATGAAAATACCAATACCAATACCAATGAAATATCAATATGAATATTAATAGATTGAGGAGCGATAACTTTTGTTGTTAATTTAAAAACAGTAAACGATTATAAACCAAGTGCTAACTACCTATTGGTATTATAAGAACTGTTATTCAGGAATACGGATTACAAGTTCCCATTGGTTTAATGGCTCACCCATGGATGCATTCGTGCTATGATAGCGTTTTTTCTGTGTATGAAACCGACTTAAGGCATAGAAAAAGTATAGTCTATTTAGAGAACTGCATGGGGATAAAACCAAAATGTCATAAAATTTAAATTTTGCAAATTTAGCAACACCAAATTGTTAAGTTTGTTTAAATATGAAATAAATTTCAGTTTTAAATATTTAAAAAGTATCTTAAAAAACTCTAAATTAATGTATGTCATTTAAATAAAAACGGGTCGTTTTTTCGCATTATTCGGAACAGTGGCAATTCAATTCAAGTATACTTATAAAAGTCGTATTTGTTGTGCCATAGGTTTAACAATATATATACGTGTTGTACTTTGGACAGCTGAAGAAAACGTTAAGTGATGGATCCAATGCAGGCTCAAACCAATCCTGAACTCCAGATTGAGTTAGAAAAACAAAAAGAGTAATTACATTTTTACTGCAGTGTTTGGTTTATGGTGCTAAAAGTAAGTACTTTGGTGTTTTAGAGAGTTTGAGAGTGCTATAAGGAATTACAACGGAGAGGATCCCTTACATAATTACTACCATTATATTTCCTGGGTGGAACAAAGCTATCCGAAACATGGGCACACAGGAAATTTAGTTGCACTTTTGAAACATTGTTTGGGAAAATTTGAGAATGATGCCAGATACTCTGATGATAGACGGATTTGTAAACTATGGATCAAATTCGTAAGTGAACAATTATTAGCTTACATACTCTTCTTATAATTGCTTTATGTAAGCAGGCAAAATTGCTTTTCTATTACTTATCAAAATTATATGTAATACCTATTTTGTTATAAAGATACAATTCGGTATACAATGTATTAAACAATAAAACGCCTTAAAAATGGACACTAAAAAATTAAACTCTTTAGAAAAAAGTCAGGGAACTTTAAATTAATGGAAAAGTTGTAAAAAATTATAATTCAGCTTTAGTTAATTATAATATTAAATAAAACATACAGTGAAACTTTCCTAACTTTCATAACTCAAATTATTTAATTTGAATTTTATTCATGTACAATCTTTTTATCTCAAATTTGATAAATTTGGTAAATTTTTCTCGATTCAATTGTGAAACTGCATTAATAAAGCTACAATAAGACACAATAATACTTAATTTTATTAAAAATAATGTATCTATAAACAAAATAAAAGTTTCATTATGCAAAAATACTAACACACTAATACAAATTCAAAGATGTTTTAGTTCTAATCACACCAGATAGGTACAGGCATTTTTTAAATTTTAAGTTCTTTGATTGAGTTCACTCTAGTTGTCTATTGTTTAAAAGGATGAGGTGATGTGTTAAAGAAAAAAACCTGTTTTTTAAATTAGCTGAAAACCCAGAAAATGTAGGTATGTAAATTTTATAATTTGTCTTCCCTGTCCATAGGCAAAATTTATTTTTATATTGTTTTTTCAATATAAAATATGTAACAAATCAATTTAAAGTCCAAAGTTTTAATAAAAAAATCCGATTAAAAAAAATCAAAAAGGAAAGTACCCTGGTTTTCAAAAATATAGGTTTCAAAATAATCTTTAAGGGGGTAAAATTGCAGTATTTATATTTCTTAAGATACTTTTTTCACAGATTGACTTGCATACAAATCCTATCGAGCTGTATAATATTATGCACGCTCGAAATTTGTGTCGCGGGTGGGCCGATGTTTACAAAGCATGGGCCTACTACCACGAAGTGGCTGGTGACTTTGTGGGCGCGACAAATGTAATAGAGCTGGGAAAAAGGGTCATGGGACAACCAAACAGCCAACAACTGGATGATGCACATATAAACATATTAAAGGCTGTTGGACAATATGTAAGTGCAAATTCTATTATGGCTTTATTACATTAGTTAGTATTATTAGTATCCACTTATATACAGGCTGTTTCACGTTCGTGGTCCATTAGAAGTTTCTGGGGAACGGAAAAATATATCAATTTGAAATTTTTAAAGGGTTTATAATTCATCCAAGTCCATTTTTTGAAATGTTTTAAACAAAATTCCACTTGTGGTTTTCGTTAAAATTTGATCAATGCGCGTCAATCAAAAGTAGCCTATAACTTTTTTGTTGTTAGGTTTGCGGATATGGGGCTAAAATGTTTTGAATCTAAAAACATTGTTTAAAAGATTTCATATTAATTCTTTAATATTTCTCAACAAATTACTTGAGAAAAACCAGGCCAATTAGGCTAACTTAAAACGTTAATAACTTTTTTATTTTAAATGTATATTTTTACATAACCGGTTAAACCGGAAGTGGAATTTTGTTTAATATATTTTAGAAAAATAGACTTAAATGGATTATAAACCTCTTTAAAATTTCAAATCGATATCTTTTTCCGTTCCCCAGAAACTTCTAATGGACCATGAACGTGAAACACCCTGTATACATATACATTAGGGTGGTCCTTATTTAGGGTGTGTTCGAATTTTTCTTCACGATAGTCCTAAATAGGTTCCAAATAAATAAAAAAAATAATGTGCCAAATTGCAGCTCTTAATTTTAAAATTAAGCCGGCCCCCTCGACAAATGGAAAAAAAAACATAGAAAAAAAACATAGAATTGACTAGAACTTCCATTTTGACCTCGAATAACTTTTGAACCAGTCAAGTTAGCAAAAAATCACAAGAAACATTTTTTGTAGAGCGTTAAATTTGTTATAAGAATATTTATCCTTCTATATAATCCGTTTATTAGTTCATGACTTAAAAAAATCCAAAGTAATAACAGAACTTTTCCCATGATATTTCCATTTAAAACTTTGGCTGTCGGGGGGGGGGGCGGCTTAATTTTAAAATTAAGAGTTGTAATTTGGCACATTTTTTTTTATATATTTGGAACCTATTTAGGACTATCGTGAAGAAAAATTCGAACACACCCTAAATAAGGACCACCCTAATATACATATATATAAAGTTTTTTCCTATTGGTAACACACTGTAGAAAAAATCAGACGTGTGGGGACTTAAATGAGTTCATATTCTGTTTGAGCAAGTAAATGTTAAATACAAATTTTTATTTCGTATTTAGACTTTTATTTTAACTGTTAACGACTTTCTGTTATAAAATGTTTCTATAAAATAATACATAAAGTAATAAAATAAATAAATAATAGTAATTTTTAATTTTTGAGCACCCAGTACCCTGTTAAAATTTTTTTGAAGGGGCTAAGGTAAAAAGCGTCTGCAATGATGAAGTTTCTCAGTTAGTCCAGGAAACAAAGATTGTAGAAGGAAAACTCGATGGTAGTCGGTTTTTTTTATGCAGTTAGGGGTGCTGATAATGAATCAAGATTATTCCCCAAAAATTTCTTTCCGCGTCCCCTAATTTCATCCCCCGAAAGGGGAGTTTTTTTGCTTTTTGGCTCATAACTCGCTAACCGTGCATTTTTTCAGAATTTGACCTCTAATTCTTTTTATGTACTAAATAAGTCACACGTTAAACCTCATTGCGCGCCTATATGATGTGCCCTTTTGCTATGCGCAGTGTGCAAAGTTGAGAGTTGCTTTCAAAATTACTTTTTTGTTTTTTTTTATTATAGCCCAATTTTAAAAGTAATCGATCCCAAACCTTACGGTAATTAAACATAACCAAATGGAGGATTTTTTGAGGTACTAGACTTTTTTCAAAAGTTACTGCTTTTCAATGTAAAGGGGGTTCTTTTTTCAAAACTTTAATTTTTGTGGGGCACTTGCAATATAAAATATAATAGTTATTTACGATATAAGTGGGATAAGAGCTTTATTAACGTACGCATGCGAAATTACGTTAAGAAAGCGTTATCACACGTATATTGTACTTGTACAATTTGTAAATTTTTATCTACGCCTCTAAATGAAAAAATAAACGGTAATTATGTTTGTCTAAGACTTAATTTAGGGTTATTTTGACATTTTGACATTTTGACTTTTTTATTTGATTGGTTAAAAGCAGAGAAAAACGCGTGCGTTAATGAACTTCTTATCTCACTCAAAATGAGTGGGATAAGAAGTTCTTATCTCACTGGCGTAGATAAAATAATTAAAAAAAACCTACGGATTCGTTACGAAGAAAAGTGTACCTAAAAATCTAGGGTAGAACGAACTGGCTCATTAAAGCCGTTTGAGAAATAAAAAATGGATTTTTTGAAAAAAGAACCCTCTGTACATTGAAAAGCAGTAACTTTTGAAAAAAGTCTAGTAACTCAACAAATCGTCCATTAGGTTATGTTTGATTACCGTAAGGTTTGGGATCGATTACTTTTAAAATTGGGCTATAATTAAAAAAACAAAAAAACGATTTTAAAAGCAACGCTCAACTTTGCACACTGCGCATAGCAAAAGGGCACATCATATAGGTGCACAATGGGGTTTAACGTGTGCCTTATTTAGTACATAATCAAATTTGGTATATCTGCTGAATCCAATAAATTTCGTCCAATAAAATCTTATAATCTATTATCTGTTTTTAATGAACCTACTAGAATAACAAGAAATTCAAATACCGCCATTGACTATATATTTACCAACTTTAACGATGAATTAACAAACACTGATATTTTAGGTCTAAACCTGTCTAATCATACAGCACAAAAAATTCAATTTTCTTAGCAAAATCAATAAAACTAAATTAAAATCACGTTTCTTTAGTAATGCTAATATTGACAAATTTTATGGTTTTCTCTTTTCTGAAAATTGGACAGATGTATTTAAAGAATTAACTGTTAACAACAAGTTTGAGGTATTTCTTAATATTATTACTTACTATTTTGAACTAAGCTTTCCAAAGGTAACCAAACAGTACGGTTAAAACAAATGTTTGGACGTGTTGATGAAAATTATTATAAGACTATCAAACAATTATACTTATAGAGAACTCTAAAAATAAAAGTAAAACTATTTGGAAAATTATAAACACAAACAGAATCACGTAGTAGGTTTATAAACGGTTATGAAGAAGAAAAAAATGTAAACATTGCAATTGCGTTTAACAAATATTTTAAAGACGTTCCAAAAAACCTTGTAAACAATATAAAAAATTGCAGTCTTAATGTAAATATCAAAATAAATAATTCTATATACCTTTGGCCGGCTACTGAAAATGAAATATGTAATATTATTAATAATTAAAAAAATAGTAATGCTGCTGGACCTGACGGTTTTTCTACAAATCTTATAAAAAAAGTAAGCTACATAATTTTTTATCCAATTTGTTAGTAAATACTTGTTTTAACAAACGGTGAGTTTCCTGACAGTTTAAAAATATCAAAGATTATATGTTTACACAAAAAAGGCGATAAAAAGAATATTAAAAACTATCGACCCATATCGTTGATTTCCAGTTTCTCCAAAATTATTGAAAAGATTATTTTTACACGAATTATAAATTTTTTAGAAAATAATAATTTATTATCGGCACATCAGTACGGTTTTAGGGCAAAGACATCGACAGTCTATGCCTTGGTAACATTTTTAAAATTTGTATATGAACATCTAGACAAAAATGAAAAGGTAATGGCCTTATTCGTAGATTTGTCAAAAGCATTTGACTGTGTAGATCATGGGATTTATTAATTATTATTATTATTATAGTATGGTCTGCGCGGTAAATGTAATAATCTGATAAAAAGCTTTTTACATAACATCGGAGTTCCTCAGGGTAGTGTTTTGTGGCCGTTGTTGTTTCTCATCTACGTTAATGACATAGATTTTCATTTTTTTGTGCATTTGCTCATGATATAACAACGGTGTCATCAAGTAAGCATCAGTTTGAATTAGTATCACAAGTAAATGAAACACTTGCCAACTTGTCAAATTACTTCTTAAAAAATAAATTGGTTATGAATTTAGAAAAAACAAATACCATGCAAATTTTATCCAATATACTTAAATTATAAAGAAAGTCCATATATAAAAGTAAAGTTATTTGGACTGTATATTGATATTAGTTTAAATTGGGGCTGTCACATTCAACATCTTTGTAATTCCTTAGAACCTAATTTATTTGCCTTTAAGCGACTTTGTCATATTGCAAATACATCAGCCATAAGAGCTTTTTATCACTCAACTCAACATTAAGTCAAGACTTAGGTATGGAATAATATGCTGGGGCTATTCAACCTCTGTCCAACGTGATTTTATTCTGCAAGCCGTTAGATTTAGGTTTTCAAGAGTCATGTAAGCCTTTCTTTATTTCTAAAAAATACTAACCCTCCCATGTTTGTTTATTCTAGCGTCACTTATTTATGTTAAAAAGAACCTTTCAAAATTTTCTAGTCTCAATGAACATCATACATACATGGTTCTAATTTACAATTAAGTATACACCGGCTTGAGCTGTTTAAGTCGAATCCATTTCACATTATTATACAATAAGCTAGATACTTGTCTTAAAATTAAAACTTTAAATTCTTTCAAACATAACTTAAAATTGATTCTTCTTGAAAAAGCTTTTTATTCAGTCGAAGAATTTTTAAATGAAGTTCTATTGTAATTTGTTTTGATTTACCATAGTTTTTTGTTGTTGTAGGTATTTAATTTATATATACTTGAATAACCTAATAGTTTTTAAATTGACTTGTCTCATATAATTGTATAATCTTTAGTCAAATTCTGAAAAAATTCACGGTTAGCGAGTTATGAGCTAAAAAGCAAAATAAACTCCACTTTCGGGGGATGAAATAAGGGGTCGCGGAAAGAAATTTTTAGGGAATATTCTTGATTCATTATCAGCACCCCTGACTCTACATAACAAAAATAAAACCCGACTACCATCGAGTTTTTCTTTTACAACCTTTGTTTCCTGGACTAAGTGCGCCATGGACGATTTAATATATTAATCAAAGACATGGAAAACGTCTTACGTCATGCTTGAATGTCATTGGCTAATCAGATTGGGTCTGTGCCTACGTATTTTGTCTCATAAAAATACGCGTCAAACTAACCCACCTTATCCCTTGTCTATGATTGGAAGTTTGTACCTTAACTTTTTACGCATTTGTATGCATTTTTGCAACTTTAACGGCAATAATCTCGATTATGAAAACAGCATCTTCACGGACCGGACGCGGCTCGCCGCAGTATCGTAAAAAAAAGGTTTCAGCTCACATCACTCATAACCTACAAACCGGGCAGGGTGGAAAGCATGCGCATGGCTACCGGGGCAGGCGTCCTGCCTTTTTTCTCCATACTGAGCGTTGCTCACAGAAATACAGGTAGGTACCTATATTAAGTTTAAATGCTATTTTTGATAAAAACAACTACGGTTTTTTGTCCATATGTCCAATATATTCATGATTTGTAACAAATGCTGTTTTATTCTTGTATTTTTCTCATTTCAAAGGTATTTCCTTTTTATTATTTATTAGAAGACGAAACCGACAGCCCGGAACTCGACTTCCATGAGAATTCGATGAGTGGACCATCTCATCTCCACCCTGGTTTTGATAGGTAAGCTTTTTTTTATATTTATAAACTGTTATTGTTAAAGTTTGTGTTTAGTTAAAAAATGGGCTTTTTCAGAAATTTAAAAACGAATCAAATGAAATGTTTAAATTGATTAATGTGACGAGCAGAGATAACATTTTATTATTATTACTATATTAAATTTTGTCCACGCTCATCATAACTTTGTATGTATTGGAATAAAATCCATTTTGATAAAAATAATTTCATTGGAGTCCGATTTGATTTTCCCTATTGCACTTAAATTCTTATTTTTAACAGAAATTAACCAAATTTTCAAATTTGCTTTCCAGTAATTATTTTCGTACAGTATGTCCCTAAAACAAGAAAATACCTATTTAGGTACCTATATTTTTATGAATTTTGCAACCTAAAATCCCATCTCTAATGATGAGCCGAAAAAATTCTCAGCGAGGATGACCTTCATCACAAGCAAAATTTGCAGCAGGACACCCTGTACTTAATCTATGGCTATTAATTAGAGTCGTTCTGATATCTGCTCTTTTCGAAATTAATTTGGTAATAGCAAATATTATTCTTTGTGAAAAAAAAAGTATGTGCAAAAAAATTGTTGGTCAACATCCTAGGCTAGCGACATGCACTTAAAATTGAAAGTAAAAAAATATTTTTTAGTCACGCTATCCGTTAAGAAATTTAATCTACAAAAAAATGTCCTTATCAATTTTCTCATAAATATGGCAGTTTCAGAAATAATTCTCTTTTATCTAAAAATTGTAATTTTTTTAAACTTAAATTTAAATGTAAAAAGTTTTTTGATATAGGTACCTAATTTGTTAGAAATTTTTTATGTCTACAAGAAAAATCTTTATAATTTGTAATTTTTTTGACTAAAATTACTTATTTTATTAGAAAAACTATTTTATTTAGTATTTGGTTAGTAAAATTAAAAGTTACACTATCTGTTAAGAAATTTAATTGTCTACAAAAGGGTCCTTATCAATTTTGGCATAAATTTGTCAGTTTTAGAGTTAATATCGATTTTATTTTAAAATTGTCATTTAAAAAAAAATTTAAAAGTTTTCAAGAACTATTTTGCTAGAGCTCGAATAAATAAATAAATAAATAAATACATAAGTAAGAAAAAAAGTGAACAACTTTTTTATCTACAGCAAAAGTCGTTAAAATTTGTATTTTTAAAAATATAGGTACTTATTTAATTAGTAAATTTAAATTCCCACAAAACGGTCCTCATGGATTATAGAATACATAATATTATTGTAGTTACTAAGATGATCACCATTAAGTTCCAAAATTTTTATTTATAGACAAACATATTATTAGTGCGTTTTTCTACTTATAATCTAGTGAGTTTTGTCATAAAAATTATAATTTTGAAATTAAATGGCGATTATCTCTGGAACTACAATAGTTATGGGAGATTAAATTTACCAACAACTTTTCAGAAAAAAATATAGAAATAAATTATTTAGACTAATCTTCAACGTTTTTTTTTTAATTTTCGGAAAAACAAAAATTTCTCGATGATTGTCATTTTTAATATTTTTTTGATTTTTACAGTGTAATGAGCCCTTCAGCAGCGGGGCCATCTTCTTCCACCAGAAGAACCGGGAAAGAAGATCCAAGGTATGTAACTAGAGATGGAAAATGTTCGAGAATTTATTTTTGGAGAATGCAAATTGAGCACAAACTTTACATAAAATAGTAAAAACGTTTTAAATTTAAAGCAATAATGTTTAGTTAATACAGGAAATCACATTTATTATTGTAATTTTATTTATTATATTCTATGTAAATTTACCGCTAATTTTTACAGTGTAAACAACGCAACCCAACCCACCGCTTCTTCGGCTGAAGAAGAAGAAGAAGAAGAAGAAGAAGAAGAAGAAGAAGAAGAAGATCATCCAAGGTATGTAACTAGAGATGGAAAATGCTCGAGCATTTATTTTTGGAGAACGCAAATTGAGCACAAACGAGAAAAAACGAGCATAAACGAGAAAATAACTAGAATTTTTTAACAGCTAGCAGAATTAGGCCATTGAACGTTCTTTGTCAATTTTTCTGGTTTATTCTCAATATTCTCGAAAATATTCTGATTTTTTTCAATATTAATTTTTATGCCCAAGCCGATTATGTGATGAGAAAATATTCTCAAAAAGTTAATTTTATAGGCAGAGTAACTAATAACATGTCATTATGTACAAAAATTTTGTTATACAATTCAATTGCTGCGCCACATTTACAATTTTGTTCAACACTGTTTTATCTATTGCCTAAATTTAAGAAAGACCAAATACAGATTATTCTAAACAGGGCCATGAGAATAATCTTAAAATGTAGTAAATACACAACTGTTCAAATTATGTTAAAAGTGTTAAATATGTTTTCTGTTAATCAAAAGGTTATGTTTGATGTGTTTGTTTTTATATTTAAGATAAAAAATAAGATGGTGCCTGATTACATAATATGTACAAAAGTTCAACTATTTAAGGATGTTCATATTTACAGCACAAGAAATCAAAATGACTTTATATTGACCAATAGATGTTCAACAAATCAATCACGGAACACTATGTTATTTAAAGGTCTACACGAATTTAATCAATTGCCAAATCATTTAAAAACTTGTACAAAACTAACCACTTTTAAGAAATTGCTCAGAAAATATGTAATGTCCCAATTTTAAATTTGTTATTTATTTGTTGTTTATTTATAAATTGTTTATTGTTTATTTAAGTATAACTTTTATATCAATTTTATTTTTTTGTAAACCATGTAGCATTTTGCTAAATAAATGAATATTATTATTATTATTCTCAAAAGATTTTTAATTTTCACAATTTTTAAAAAAAAATGACTCTTTTATTTTCAAAAGTTGACTTATCCGGAGGTTTTTTTAACTTTTTATTTTTAATTTTACTTTTCAGAAAAAAATATAGAAATAAATTATTTAGACTAATCTCCAACGTTTTTTTTTTAATTTTCGGAAAAACGAAAATTTCTCGATGTCATTTTTATTTTTTTTAATTTTTACAGTGCAATGAGCTCTTCAGCAGCGGGGCCATCTTCCTCCACCAGGAGAACCAGGGAAGAAGATCCAAGAAAGCAAATTAAGCACGAGCTTTACATAAAATGGTAAAAACGTTTTAAATTTAAAGCAATAATGTTTAGTTAATACGGGAAATCGCATTTATTATTGTAATTTTATTTATTATATTCTATGTCAATTTACCCCTAATTTTTACAGTGTTCGATACCCAACCCAACCCACCACTTCTTCGGCCAAAGAAGAAGAAGATCCAAGGTATGTAACTAGAGATGGAAAATGTTCGAGAATTTATTTTTGAAGAACGCAAATTGAGCACAAACGAGAAAAAACGAGCATAAACGAGAAAATAACTAGAATTTTTTAACAGCTAGCAGAATTAGGCCATTGAACGTTCTTTGTCAATTTTTCTGGTTTATTCTCAATATTCTCGAAAATATTCTGATTTTTTTCAATATTCTCAAAAGATTTTTCATTTTCACAATGTTCTTAAAAAAATGACTCTTTTATTTTCAAAAGTTGACTTATCCGGACGTTTTTTTAACTTTTTATTTTTAATTGTACTTTTCAGAAAAAAAATATAGAAATAAATTATTTAGACTAATCTCCAACGTTTTTTTTTTAATTTTCGGAAAAACGAAAATTTCTCGATGTCATTTTTATTTTTTTTTATTTTTACAGTATCTCTTCAGCAGCGGGGCCATCTTCCTCCACCAGGAGAACCAGGAAAGAAGATAAAAGAACGCAAATTAATGGCAAGCTTTTCATAAAATGGTATTAGTAGGTATGGTGGAACTAAGTAAAACTCGGTGATTGTAAAACTTTATCTTTAACTTTATTTAAGAGCCGTAATTCGTATGTCATGGACTGACTACTTTTATACAACTGTTGAAAGTGCTTGGTACATTCGAACTTTATAATATTTGCTGATTAATTTATACAAAGATCGTCACATAAGAAATAGCTGACTCAGCCCTACTAGAAGGCTAATATGCTCTTGACTAAATATTTATATAATGAATATTATTTTTGCAATAAAACCAACACACCCCCTCAAAAATATATGGGCTTATTTTGTTAATTTACGGCTTACGGGGAATTAACTGATGATCCAACATTTATTGCATGGGTTAGGGAAAACCCCCACAAAAACCTAACCAGATCATGAACATTTAAAATTAATGTTTAACAATACTTATTTCAATTTATAATTTGAACTTATAACAAAAAGGAATCTTGCTTTTCATTTATCCTGTAATCCCATCTTCTCTCTCAGTCCCTTGAACTGTTGTGGTGGCAATGATTTTGTCAATAGATCAGCTTCTTGATGACCTGTGGGCAAATATTTCAAACAGACAATCTGGTTTTCTACTTGCTCTCTTGTAAAATGGTATTTAATGTCGATATGTTTAGAACGTTTGTAATTTACTGGATTATTGGCCATTGCTATGCAACTTTGGTTATCTTGGTATAAAATTATTGGTTTAAACATATCGATATTAATACTAACTAATAAATATCTAAGCCCTAAAGCTTCCTTTATAGCCTCAAATACAGCCATGTATTCAGCCTCAGTTGATGACGTAGCAACTGAATTTTGTCGCCGTGTAATCCAAGTTACAATACAATTTTTAAATAATTTAAATAAACAACCTGTTGTACTTCGGCGATCTATTTCATTATTTGCCCAATCGGCATCAACATAGCCTGTTAATACATGTTCATAATTTTCAATACGCTTATATACCAATTTCATATTTATCGTTCCTTTTACATATCTTAATACTCGCTTTAGACATAACCATAGTTCTTTATTGCATTTTGTTTGATATCTGCTTAACAGATTTACCGCTGTACATAAATCCGGACGTGTACGTAACATAGCGTACATTAAGCAGCCAATAAGATTTCGACAAGGTGCATCATAACTATCCTCTAAATTTAATGCGGTATAGTTTAATTTTACAGGCAATGGGGTACTGACGCGTCATGACGGGGTTACATTCATTCATATTAAATTTTTGTAAAACTGATTTTAAATATGTGGTCTGATCAAGTGAAATTTTAGAATTTGATCTATTTATTCTTATACCTAAAAAATAATTAATTTCTTTTAAATCAACCATGTCAAATTGTTTCATTAAAAATGTTTTAAAATCATTCATTGTATTTTTATCCTTAGTTGCGACAACCAAATCATCCACATATAAAAGTACATAAATATTTTTATTTACATCGCCTCTGTTTAGGAAATATAAACAATTATCAGCTGATGAATTCATAAATCCTTTTTCAATTAATACGGTATTAAAGCATTCATACCAGCACCGAGCTGATTGCTTCAAACCGTACAAAGATTTATTTAATTTACATACTAAATTATTTGATTTAACTACAACACCTTTAGGTACCCTCATATAAATATTTTCCCTTAAGGTCCCATTTAGAAATGCAGTCTTAACATCCATTTGATGAATTAATAGCTCATACTGATTTGCTAACGCAAGCATACACCGAAATGTACTGATATGCGCAACCGGTGCGAACGTTTCGTTGTAATCTAAAGTTTTTCTTTGACTAAAACCGCGCGCTACTAAACGAGCTTTAAATTTAACCCAATTACCGTTACTATCGCCTTTTATTGTAAACACCCATTTACAGTCGACAATATTTACATTATTTGGCTTTTGTACAAATGTCCACGTTTTATTTTGCTCTAATGAATTTAACTCATCTTTAATGGCATTTTCCCAGTCAACTCTGCATGAACTTTTAGCTACGTCTTGATAACAAGTTGGAATTTCTTTTTCAAACATTTGATTAGACAAACAAACAAACAAACAAACACTTAATGAAAGAGGTGTCCCTGAAAATTGCACTCAAGGTCAAACATCTTGCTTAAAGGATGTCCCTGAACAAATAAGTACGAGCTCGAACAGTGATAATGAAAATACGGGTACCTCAAATAATAATAATTATTATAAAATGAGGAAATTAAATAATACACAGGATATGAGAAGGAGTGAAAGATTAAAAGCTAAACCAATATTATCTTATAAAGAGGATAATTTTGAAGTAAATAATTATTTGATAACTAATCAGATTTCGCTACCAACATTCTTTGTGTGCGACGAGGGACCACAAGGTCGGCACGTGGAGGCTTTATGGTGGTCGTCAGCATTTTAGAGGAGCACACAGTTGCTTAAAAATATAAGCGGCACTCTTTAAGAAGCACTCGATAAATTAAGACATAAGTTGTTATTGTTGAACTATTTGATTTTAATATAATTGTTTTTAAACCAAAAAAGACTTTATTTCTTACACATCACGTGCAACTATGAATTTTTCTGATCTCGCATCAAAAATTTTATATCCATTTGGCACATAACCCACAAAAATTCCCTTAGACGATTTACTATCGAATTTAGTTCTTTTTGTTTTATTATGCACATAGGCTGTGCAGCCAAATATTTTTAAGTTACCTAACTTTGGCTTTTTATTGTGCCACATCTCAAACGGTGTCTTATTTAATTTTATCGCTTTTGTTGGTGACCTATTTATCAAATAGGCTGCAGTTAAAATTGCCTCGCCCCAGAAGCGTTTGTCTAGACCCGCACTGTGTACCATCGCACGTGCTTTTTCGGTTAATGTGTATGGCACCGTGAGATGATATGTTATTCCGTTTTGTTTACAGAATTCCTTCATTTCGCCAGATTCTCTACCGTTATCACAATATAGGTTAACTAATTTTGTATTAAAATGGGCTTCACTTTTTACAACGTAATCTTTAAAATAAATAAACACTTCTGATTTATTTGACATTAGGTAGGTCACGGTATAATGAGTATAATCATCAATAAAGTTTACGAAATAATTTTTATTATCTATTGTAAAAGGTGTTATTGGCCCACATACGTCAGAATGCACAACAAATAATGGTCTTTGTATATGCCTTTTATCTTTTATCTTTGCGAAAGGAAGACGTGTTTGTTTTCCGCTAATACACGCTTCACATAACGAATCAATAGGGTTTATATCTTTTAAACAGACATTTTCAACGGCTAGTTCATTTACTTTAATTTTAGAGAAATTTTCTTTACTGATGTGGCCTAATGGCTCATGCCACATCTTATTTTTATTAATATTTACTTCAGCCACGTGGCCTGCAGCCCGTACTGTATTATACGCATTTTGTATTATTAGTTCTATAATATACAAGTTATTTATGCGCTTACCTTTAATTACTGTAGTATTCCCCTTTTTGATCTCCACATTGCCAGTCTCCGTGAATACCACTGACATTCCAGCCTAGCCTCCTGGATACGCCTCACTGAGATAAGATTTGCCGGCACACTGCTACTGTAGAGGACATCTTTTAACTCTCCGCTGTAGCCAAGGGTGGTTTTGACTTTTATTTTTCCAATATGGGTTGCCTCGATGACCGTTCCCTTTTTGGCCACAGTTATGCGAATTGGCTCCACCAGTTGTTCATATGTACAATGTCATTTATGATGTGTTCTGTTGCGCCAGAATCCAACACAAATCGTCCTGACCCATCATTTTCGTAATTGCTCATCATAAAAGCAAATGATTTGTTTACCACTGCTGTCGAAGCACTAGCTTCCTGATTGTTCTTCTTGTATTTTTCTTGCATTTTTACACTTTGTTTGTAAAAATAACAATCACGTTTAAGATTGTTTTTCCTGCCACAATGGAAACATTTTTGTAGTTGTTTACTTTTAAAAGTTTTACGTTGAGAAAATTTATCCTTCTTTTTATATTTTTCTTTAGTATTTGTAGCACGAAAATGAAGAGCTTTCGTACTTGTATCGGCATTTTCTCGCACTAAATATTCTTCATGTTCAATAAGCATTCCTTTCACAAATGCTAAAGTGAGCCTATCATCCGTCATTGTTTTAATTGCTTCTTTTACTGGCGCATAAGTTGAGGGTAATGAGTTTAGCATATACCAAACTTTTGTTGTCTCACTTACTTCCATACCACAGGCAGTCAAATCTCGTACCATTTCTTCAATTTCCATCATGTGTTTTTTATTGACGTTCCGGGCTTTAATTTGGAATTAAAAAGACGATCCTGGACACATAACTGTGTGGACACCTTTTTACATGCGTACAAACCATCAAACTTTTCCAGAATTTCTCGAGCTGCCGCACGACCTGGCGGTAGTTGTAATAGTGTGATGTCATCTAAATATTCAATTAATGTCCCTCTTGCAAATCGCTCCCATTTTATCCACTCATCAGTAAGTGGTGTTGGTGGATCTTCATTTAGCACTTTACTAGCACCTTCTTGTTCAATTATTTCAGTTAGTCTAAATTTCCACATTAAATAGTTTTCACCATTAAACAGTTTAAGGTTTCGCTTCATCACAGTTGACACGCCACTGGCCATTGTTTTTATTTTATTTAACACAATCACTCGCGATCACGTACGGTGTCTGAGCCCATAACATATTAGTAGGTATGGTGGAACTAAGTAAAACTCGGTGATTGTAAATATCTTTAACTTTATTTAAGAGCCTAATTCGTATGTCATGGACTGACTACTTTTATACAACTGTTGAAAGTGCTTGGTGGTATTGGTACATTCGAACTTTATAATATTTGCTGATTAATTTATACAAAGATCGTCACATAAGAAATAGCTGACTCAGCCCTACTAGAAGGCTAATATGCATGCTCTTGACTAAATATTTATATAATGAATATTATTTTTGCAATAAAACCAACAAATGGTAATTTTTACAGTGTTCGATACCCAACCCAACCCACCGCTTCTTCGGCCGAAGAAGAAGAAGAAGATCCAAGGTATGTAACTAGAGATGGAAAATGTTCGAGAATTTATTTTTGAAGAACACAAATTGAGCACAAACGACAAAAAAAACGAGCATAAACGAGAAATTACCGAGAATTTTTTAACAGCTAGCAGAATTAGGCCATTGAACGTTCTTTGTCAATTTTTCTGGTTTATTCTCAATATTCTCGAAAATATTCTGATTTTTTTTCAATATTCTCTAAAGATATTTCATTTTCAAAATGTTCTTAAAAAAATGACTATTTCATTTTCAAATATATATGGCTTTTTCAAAAGTTGGCTTATTGGGACGTTTTTTTTTTAATTTTCGGAAAAACCGAAAATTTCTCGATGATTGTCATTTTTAATATTTTTTTTATTTTTACAGTGAAATGAACCCTTCAGCAGCGGGGCCATCTTCCTCCACCAGGAGAACCGAGGAAGAAGATCCAAGGTATGTAACTAGAGATGGAAAATGCTCGAGAATTTATTTTTGAAGAACGCAAATTGAGCACAAACTTTACATAAAATGGTAAAAACGTTTTAAATTTAAAGCAATAATGTAGTTAATACGGAAAATTACATTTATTATTGTAATTTTATTTATTATAATCTATACATATACATATGTAAATTTACCGCTGATTTTTACAGTGTACCCAACCACGGCGTTCTCTATACAGGCGCTAGTGTGGTAGTGGGAGGCGTGACGTCAGGAGGCCGACTGCAATAGTAAATTAATGTAATAATTTTATAATCGCGGTAATACAAGACAGTTTTATATAAATTATAATTTATCTATATATATATATATAGATATCTATTGCTTTACTATTGATATCGCTCGATTTAACGTTGATTTAAATATTGCATTAATTTGCTGATTTTATAACATTATTAATAAATAAAAAATATCAAGAAAATGTTGCGTTCCTAAGAGGCAACAGGAAAATAAATATATTATCGCGGTAATGCAAGACGGTTTCATATGAATTATCGATTGTCAGAGCCGGCCCGAAGTTTTTTTGCCTCTCTGGGCAAAAAACACTTGCTGCCCCTTTTTTATTCAGCAGAAAAAAAATTCCTTGTCCAGTCCCCAACAGTCAATTATTAAAATTATGTCTACTTATTGCTTTATTGCCTTATGTTTCCTTTATTTAATATATATCCTAATAAAACAAGAATATATTAAACAATTTATATGCCAAAATACTATATAAAAATTACCTACAATATTTTTTTATAAAAACAGTTTTAAGATACTTGCATATGTAATAAGCTGTTATACTACGAGGGTTGCCTTTTATATTTCGGGAATAGAGAAAACAAACAACAATTAATCATCGTTCATGGCTTTATTGTTTTTCAAAATATTTTCCATGAAGATCGACACACTTTTGCATGCACTTGAACCAATTTTTGAAGCATTTTTTTCACTCCGATTGAGGCACCTCCAAAACATGCATTTTGAACGCATCAACCGCTTCTAAAGACCAACACAGTCGACTGCTGTTTACTTTCAGGTTCATACGCATATATCCATGATTCGTTACCTGTTACAATGTCATAAACATGTTTTGAAGCACCGCCATCGTATTTTTTAAGCATTTCTTTAGACCACTAGACCCGAGACTTTTTTTGATCGATTGTCAAATTATGTGGGATCCAACGGTAACCATTTTTTCTGACAGCCAAATGTTCATTTAATATTAAATGTATGCTGGTCCCACTAATGCCCAAGGATGACCCAATCTCACGATATGTCACATGACGATCTTGCATTACCAGTTCACGCATAGCATCAATGTTTTTTGCAAGAACGAGTGATTTTGGACGATCTTCACGAAATTCGTCGGTGAGCGAACCACGGCCATGATTAAATTCGGAACACCACCGATATTCACTTGTTTTTTATGGCACTTTGTCGCCAAAAGTCAAATTAAGTTCATCGATGCATTATTGTTGGGATAATCCACCTTAAAGTTCTAAAAATTATAGCACAAAAATGTTCACGGGTCAATTCCATTTTTTTGGCCGACATTAATTTTTCAAGTGACTGTTAATAATACTAATTGCGCCCGTACGTCCAAACGTTTTAAGTAAGAACACCGTCTAAAAGGTCGAACTTAACGATACAGACATCTGTTGTCCGATAGCATCAGCAGGTTCGGCCATTCCCGAAATATAAAAGGCAACCCTCGTTCACACTTGCAAAAATAACTAGCGTCATTTTTATCAACAAGATGTTAATGCGCCCTGAAAACTAAAAACTTTGATGGAGCTTACCATTGTATTTTTTATTTTTATATCACTTCTATGTTTGTTTTAAATAAATTACTATTTTAATAACAGTTCTGTTTGTTTTAAATAAATAACTATTTTACAAGCATACACATATTCATTTACATAAAATAACCAACATTTTTATGGCTATATACTTATACGCAAAAATATTATACTCTTAATTCAAATTAAATATAAGTTTACTTGTGTTTATTTTTAAATAAAATCTATGTTTTGTTGAATTTTTTTTTAAATGAATATATTAATATATTTTAAGTAAACTTGAATATTTAAAAGAGTATAACTTCTAAATTTAAATACAGAAAAATTTAATTGAAGTATGTAGTAATAAACTGCGCACCACTCAATGTGTCGCGACCAAAAAGTTCGTTCTTTTTCAAAACGACATAACTTTTTTGTTTCTTAAACGATTTAATTTTGGTTTGTGATGTCTGCTAGCCTCATCCTCTGGCAATTTATGCTATAGATATGAAGCTCACGGTTGGTCAAGTAAACTTCCTACAGGGTGATATGTTAAACGGTGAAAAATTTCAATAATTTTATCCAAGCCCCGTTTGTAAAAAATATTTTTTTTTGTCGTTTTTACTTTGAAATAATGAAGAATTATTTGTTACCTTGAAACGTTTTTCAAATTTTTCGAATTGGAATCTTAGCAACGAAAATATGATTTTTTTTCCAAAAGAGTACATTTAAGGCTTTTTTTAGGCAATACACTCAGTCTTTTTAGGAACAAGAAGATAAGATGGTGAAAGATTGTTCCTTAAATAATTCTGAACAAGCGACAAGCAACAAACAGTTGTCAAATTTAAGTTTCAGAAAAAACCAAAATCACTACGAATCAAGATTCGAAAACAATTCCCGGCTGTCCGATTGCTGCTTTTTAATGTTTTTTTACATATCGTAAATGAGTATTTAAGAGACCACCATATTGAGAAAATGAATGGGCCACCTTTGTCTCCGGATATGAATCCTATTGAGCATGTGTGGAGCAGGATAAAATTGAAGATAAAAGAGAGGGAAGAAGGCATGGAAAATTTGGATGAATTGGTAAATGCTATTCAGGAAGAATGGGGTATCCCAGAAATTTCTAAGAAACTTGGTCGAGGGAATGCCCAGGAGGGTTAACGAATTATTACGGCTTAGGGGAGGGCCAACGAAATATTGAAAGGTATTATTGTTATTGTTTGTTACATTTTTCTGTTGAATGTTGAAGTTTTGATTATAATTATATCTATAGAAAATTGAAAATTGTATGCGTATACGCATACAATTTTCAAAAATAAACAAAAATATTTTTATTTAACTTTATTATGAATTGCCAGAGGATGGGGTTAGCAGACATCACAGACCAAAATAAAATCGTTCAAGAAACAAAAAAGTTATGTCGTTTTGAAAAAGGACGAACTTTTTGGTCGCGACACATTGAGTGGTGCGCAGTTTAGTTAGGTTAGTTAGTAATAGCTTGGTTTAGCTGTATCAGGTCAAAATTCAAAGATATTGGAAACACCCTGTATAAATTTAAACACCCTGTATACATTTTTTTAAAATTAAATTTGGTGGGACCCACACATCAGTTCCAAATTAAAAAAATAACAAATTTTGAAGTTAATTGATCAAAAGATACACGTGTCCCTAAGGGTTTTTCTTAGATAATTTCGGAAATTTGAAATGTTTTTTTGCTGATTTTTTTTTATTGAGTATAATTGTGGATATTATATTAAATAAAATAAAAAGCATAAAACTATTGGCACAAGAGGTGAATTATATTATTTTACAAATTATAATATACAAGGAAATACAGTGTGTCCCCGGATAGGACTTCCGACAGGAAAAACTTTTTAAGACCTGATACAGCTTAACAAAATTATTATTTAATATTCCATATTATAAAAATTAGACTAAACTTATTTCAAATACACAAATCCCAAACAATCGGTATTTTAAAATTACAGAATTATTTTTTTGTACAGTTTGTTTTAAACAAAATACTTAGTACGTATTGTTTTGTTGATTTTGATAGAATATGTACTCATGCATTGTCCAATGCCTTAGTAAAAAATACTCCTTAAAAGCAATAATAATCCATAACTTTGGTTGCAAAGAAATGTAATACAATATGCGTACTTTGATCCTGACGTCACAGTTTCGGCCGAAGAAGAAATCCAAGAAATGAAAAATGCTCAAGTATTTATTTTTGGAGTTTGCCTCCAACGTGTAACATTTCGATGGATCGTCGATTTTGATTTTCCAAACATCCCTGCAACATCACTGTAAGATCGACCATTTTCGATCATTGCTGCAGCCCTAGCGATATCAGTCGGTGCTAAATCACTCATTGTGGACTTTTTCACAGTCAATGTGACTATAGTAAGCCACAACCAAGTAACAGTAAGCAATTGATTGTGAAAAAACAACTAACTTTTATCAGAAATTAACGAACACCTTAATGCAACAACAAGGGATGTTTGACGTTAATTTCGATTTTGACGTGGACTAACTTGATCAAAATTTGCAAAATATATAAAAAATGTACTAATAAATGTGAGCCTAGGCCGTACATTACAGTACAAAAAACTAATTTTGTAGCACAACTAGAAAATTCAAAATTTTTATACGTTCCTTTAAATTTGCCGGTGTGTGTATATTCAATTGAATTAATGTATTAATATTTTATCTTATAATACGTAAAAACTGATGTAAATTCACACTATTTTTTTCAGCTCAACGTCGAATGATACTGGGTAAGATTTTTTTTTATTTATGGCCATTTTTTACAAAATTGATGCATACCCCATAGGGTAATAATTTTTGTTAAATTTGTATAAAGTTCTAAATAATCTGCAATCCGCTGAGCCAAGAACAAAAATTCTGCCCAAATAGGCTTCTAATTTTAGAAGCCTATTTGGGCAGAATTTTTGTTCTTGGCTCAGCGGATTGCAGATTATTTAGAACTTTATACAAATTTAACAAAAATTATTACCCTATGGGGTATGCATCATTTTTGTTAAAATCAGCTTTATTGTAAATAGTTTGAAAGCCTAATAAATTGTAAAAAAATAATTTCAGTAGAATGAAGTTTAAAGTTGTCTAAAAGGAGCAACAGCTCGTAAAAAATTGTTTACTAAGCTCATTTTTATCAACTAACTTGGCAATATTTGGGTTTAGTGTGAAATTGTTTAGTATTTCATCTTGC